TATCAGCAATTGTATGACGGCTTCAATGTACATCAGTACGCACTGAATATAAATATAGCAAATACTGAACGTATTGGCTATTACAAAAAAAAGTATGTACATTACAATAATTAAATATTCTATCAATATTGTAGCATGTGCCTTTTCCTCCTAAAATTTATATCACAACGCATTGGAAACTGAGGATTGAGAATTAGAGATTAGAATTCAACCAGTCAGACTTTTATTTTAATCCGTTTTGTTTTGTTTTTGATTGGTTGAATTCTAATTTTCAATTCGCAATCATCGACCTTTATGTACAGTGTGACATGGGCTTAACAGATATTTTTTCACAATTATAAGTTGTGAACTTATTATTATTTGATACACAGTTTATTATTTGGAAATGATCATTTGGGAAATTAAACGGATGTTTATAACATGATGAATACATAACATCACTGAATACTTATAACTGTTTTAAACAAATGAATTTAATTTATTTAATCTCTATTCATCTTAATATATACAAACCAACTCTTCTCCGCGAAATGTGTATTACAGAACAGAGAATCTTTGTTATATTACTATAGTAATCATAAGCTAAGTTTTATGACTCTTCCCATCTCGCTTTCTCCTCGTTCTCTTTTTCGATTTCATCGAGATATGGCTTAAGGTATTCTACATCCTGCAAAAAAATTCTTTTTTTGGCTAAAAAGACTTTGGATCAATTGCGATATTGATCAGTCTATGTCATGATAACTGATATTTACTGACCTCTTCGTACTTAGTCCACTGTTCTTTGGGCAAGACTCTGTGAGAAGCACTCAACTGTAGGGCTCTTATTATACGGAAATTGCGTTGATCTAAAATTTCTTGAGGAAGGCGTCTCAATGCTTCTGCTACATTCGGATGAAATTGATCATTCATTAAATCATTCTTCATTAAACCTGAACAGAAAAATAAATTAATAATAATAATAATTCAAAATATATTAATCTATTTAGATAAACTTCTTGTTCAACTCTTCTTTAAAACAAAGAAAAAAGGAGGAAGGTTTGACTATACAAGAAATTCTAAAAAGAAACAGATTTGTTATCATATTCTTTAGTGTCAACTTCTTCACAAAATTACACATATATATGTACTGCAACTAGTGTCAAAATGCTAATCAAATTTGTTATAAAAAAAAATTAGCCAATACAGTAAACACATAAAGAAGCAACTATAGTTAAGTAAGTAACTACAGGTAACAAATGTATTA